GTTTCTGTTCCTTTTATTGAATTTACTTTTTCTTCCTTGAAACATGACTGAAAGATCTGATAGGGATGACGTCTCAAGTCTCAGTTCTTTTGGTTTTTGTGGTCCAACAGATGACCTGACATGGCCCACATGTTGTACGTCATTGTGGGGATCCAGCTTTGATAGACAGACGGATGCTTTTGTGAATTTCTTTGAGATAGCCAGCTCTTTCGCAGAAATATCTCAGATAATGCAACGCTGTGACACCGCAAGAGCTGTTTATCACATAGCAGGGGGCTGACGACTTTGCTGAGACCAGATAGATATGCATGGTCCAGTCACTGTCTACATGAGATTAGAGCACAGTGGAAACAATCCGGCAGATTGAGGCACAGCTGCTCTCAGATGGACTAAGAGTTGGGACGGATTCTCTCAAAGGTGTGGAGGCGCTCATGCAGGCTATTTGAGGCGATACTGTTATCAGAGAGGCACCAGGGTTGAGGCTGGCTACGAGTCATCAACTCCACCCCCAAATCAGTGCATGGAAGCATTAGAAGTGGCTCAAACATACATAACAATGGCTGTCCTTAACCACTCCTCTGAGTGGCACTACGCCTGAGGGCAAATGTGAGAACAACAACTGTGCAGACAGAACGAGAGTGGTTAAGATTAAAGTCCCACCCCGGGCCACTCAAACCAGTGGCCACTCAGAGATATTACTCTCAGCTTTAAATAAGTTGTCATTCTTTAGAAGTAAAAACATGAATGCAAATTGTTTTGATTTGCATAGATGAGGATTGAAAGAGTAGCACAGATGATGGCATTGTGACCCATATAGATTTGGGAAATCAGGAAACAGACGAGCAGTGTAAACACACGTGGACGAGGACAACATATACTAGATGATATTCTTAAAATTTACTGTTACTTAAGATTCAGTGTTCCACTCATGCTGCAACAAACAAAACACAAAGCGTTAGTAATCTTACCCCAATTTACAGCATGTAACAATAATATTTAAGTTACGTTTTAAGTTATTCTGGAGTATATTTTGGACCACATTTGTCCTCGTTTTGATTTTTTTTTAACAGAATCTACAGTAAAGCAAACATATTTATCAACTAACCTCATTAGAAAACTTAACTGACAGACTAATTCTTAACTGATATATTATTTATATATGTATAAAAAAAACCTGTAAATCTTATCACGTGATCTAATGAGTCAAATACTGGTCTCTTACAAACTTAAAAATGTTTTGTATCTTAAAGTTCAGGCTCCCTACTTACCCAAACTTTTTTTCCCACTCATATACAATTGATAAAATTAAAAAATATATTTTGGGTGAAAAGTCTTTAGTTACATATGTTGGATTAGTCATCAGCTGTAGTCTGGCTGTAACCAGTGTTTGGTGATGATAACATACAGCTGCTGCTGGAGGCAGAGCCTTCGGCTGATTCTACCTGACTTGTGATTGTTCTGGATGTCTTTGAGGGCCCACAAACAGCAGTGTGGTCAACAACAAGCTCTTGATTGACAACAACACGCAACAACAGAGAACGAGGCAGAATGGCCACAATCATACCTGCAACAAATGAGAAAAATTCTGAATGGCAAGGAAGCAGAGCTAAAGAGAGAGAGTGACAGAGAGGGGAGGGCAGTGTCATTGTTTGGAGGCTGAAGCTTAGCCATGTGGATGGAGCAGGTCAGAGACAAACTGAGATTTCATTTGACACGGAATGCATCGCCGCTGCACAGTTGGACAGAGATCTAAGTGGGAGCTCGATCACTATGGATCTGCTGCCAGGTATTTCAAGCGTGTGGTCAAGCCCCTGCGCAGTCAATGTGTTTGTGTCTACAGCATTTGTATTTTACAGTCCTCGTGGTCCTCTGTCTTATTTCTAAGGAGTGTTTGGCCAAACGTTCATCTCCGGGGCCGATGCTGTTTGTTCATGACAGTTGGAGCTCATTTAAGACGTGTGTGTGGTCTGTTTTTTCTGCCCTTGCTGTGTAAACACCATCATTTATTCGGTGAAACTGTTTCCTGACAGTTTGAGTCTGAAGAATTTTACCTCTGTTTGAAAGCTGTATTTTAACATCCTGTCACTTTACCAAACACAAGGCTGTGGTCAATGACTCAAAGTTCCTGTTGCTCAAGATAATTGAAGCACAACATCAATGTGCAATATCATGTAGACATTGAAGTCCTGATCTATTTGGACATGTTTACATGGAATTAGTAAGTCACATATAGTCTAAGAATAGATATTGTGAGCATATGTAGTCACACAAAGCACATTCTTAATATTGGAGAGAAAAAAATTATAATTGCCTTTTTCTTATAATGCTGGTTCAGTTGTTGATGCTTGTGTAGTAATGAAAGCTTGTACCTTTTTTGTGTGTTATTCAGAGTGTTTGTCAACCGAAGTTTGGCAATGGAGAAGATCAAGTGCTTTGGCTTTGACATGGATTACACTTTAGCAGGTGAGTTAATCCACGTAATCAAACACAGTACTGTTTCAGTCATCTGGTTTGTCAAATATAGCATTGACAAACAAAAACATTTTATAAAGAGACAACTGTTTGGTTTCCAGGAGTGTGGTTGAATGTTTGAGCCAAGTGTTTTTATTTCTTTAATCACTTTTTTCCAGACCTTGCATAGTTTTTTTGGACAAATAAACTATAACATTGAGTTTTTTTTCTCAGTGACGCAGCTCCAGGTTTGAGACTTCATCTCTATGAATAAATTAATCTGCCCTCTGGTTGAGAAAACAGGTTACGTTTGTTTGCTGGTTTCATCTGTGATAACTGGGAAAACCTACCATCGCGCTGTGCCTCTCTACACTGCAGGCGTTAGTGGAGCCACTCAGCTGTTGACATGCTGCTCTTTATGGATGCTCATAACCAAGTGTTAATGTTTGTTAGAAGCCCAGCTATCACCTTTCATTGGATGGTGTTCAACTTGTCAGTGTGGTGACACATTTTCAACTCTGAGGAGTTGAGTCTGCTACAAAGCAACTGCTGCTTCATCCCGAACAGCGTTTCACAGTTTGGAAAAGAAAACTCATTTGAGTTTTTAACATATTTATCGGCAACACATGGCAACAGAGGATTTTTTATTATATGTTATAATATGTTTAACATGCGTTAAGTTACACAGAACTTTTTTAAATGAAAATTGTTTAGTAACCAAGGGGAATTGCACAGAACTTTTTTAAATGAAAATTGTTACCAAGGGGAATTTCCTCTGAGGCTCAGCTAAACTAAGCCAATCCTGCAAAAATGGCTGCCCTCTTTAATTGTATTTGGGATTCAAAGGCAACTCTGCATCCTTTGAGTAGCATTATTGCCATGTGGCTCCCAGGAATTCCAACAGCCCTAAAAGAGAAAGGTGTAAAGCTGGGAAAACTACCCATAAATGTTCTATGTTACAGTAAAGGTGACTCAGCTGATTTAACTTTTATTTGATTCTATGATTTTTTTTCTGTGTGTTCACAAATAGCTTTGAGTTTGAGTGAACTCCACATAGTCAACATTGTGTAAGCCGGTGTTGCTTCATCTGTTTTTTGGACTCCTGCAGAGAACTCTATGCTGGCCCACATTTCACTGAGAGCTTTCAAAAGAAATGCACACAGATTTGCCCCAGTTTTTCAACAGACTTTTGGCAGGAATGTAGGTCCTGCCAAAGGCTGCACTAGTTTTTATCCTCATTTCTCAAATGTGACTAAACCTCACATTTGAAACCAATGGCAACAGAAGCTTCACTAGGGATGAGAATTTTTCTAATGTGTACTGTAGGCTGGGTTCAGACAAGGAGTCTTTGTCTGGGGTGTGTTTAGTTGGAACCAGTAAACGTGTGGTGGTTGTTTACTTTGTGTGTGTTAGGGATGTGGGTTATGTGCAAACCAGAGGTGATGTGACCTCCAGTCTGAAGAAACAACACACACCTCTGCAATTGGAGCAGCAGAAGTATATTTATCTAGAGATAATTTCATCAGGGATAGTAAGTAACAGAGCCTTGCAGCAGAGGCTGTTTTCACACCTTAGACCTAAGCAAATGGCCATGTGTGTGTGTGTGTGTGTGGGGGGGGGTTACATGTTTGCATAATGACACTGTGAGACATATGAGAAAGAGCTTCCAGTAAGAGGGGCAAGGGCCATCCATTAATCTAGATATCTGACTCCTGGGTCCACAGCTAGGAGCCACAACACGGTTTCCGACGTGCACACAAACTTTTTTTTTTAAATTTTATGGTCTGTATTGTCATTGTACCACAAGGATACAACAAAACTGAGCCTCTGCATTTAACCCATCACCAAGGGGAGCAGTGGGCAGCTTTTAAGCGCCCGGGGAAATGTTTTGCTGTCAGTGTTTTCTTTATCTTCTTTACATACTTACGGCACCGTCCAGGCCTGCAGCCTCAGCGTAGCACTCAACCAACAAACAAGTTGGAGGCTCCTAGGATTACATGTGCAAAGGATCTGCTGTAGGCCACGGTTTCATGTGTCTGTGGAGTTTTGATGGCAGTCAGTCAGCTCTCAAAAAAGCCATGCTGCTTCACTGGGTCAGTATTCATTGGGAGGTGTACATATCTGACCTTATGATGTCAGCGATCTTTATTGTACCTGGCCTCCTATTTGACCGTCTTTTTATCAATCACATCCAGGCACCGTTGGTAGTTTTATACCTCCCACATTTTCTTTCCACCATGTTTGAACTGCCAAATTGCATGAAGTCACATTATAATTAGGGCCGTCATACAATTACTGTTTTAGTCACAGCAAAGCTGTGAATCTATCAAGATTAGTGTTGACTCATTGAGATAGATCACACCTGTTTTATGTGTGACTAATACAAATGATGGTATTATTAATATGGAAAATGTCAAGTAAAATCGGCAAGAGAATAACTGAAAATGTAATTTGAAGGACTTCTCAACGTTGGCCTGTAGAATAGTTTGGTAAAGTCGCTGTCCTGAAGTATAAGGCTCTGCAAACACTTACTAGAAGTTGAGATGGTATTTTAGGATACAGGTGCTTTGGTTAAAAGTCAACTTTGTAGCAGCTTTATGTGTGTAAATGACAACTTGTATCCACTGTGTATTTTACCAACAATTAGAGGACTGACCATGGAATTGTTGAGGTTATCTTTTTTTTTACTTCTTCCACATTGGGTTATGAAAACCTTGGAGCTTTAAGGAGAGCACTCAAAGGGTAAACAGCTCTTTAAGTAGGTTTCTTTGTGTTGCTTCAGGGCCTCAAGAGAAATATGACAAGTGATTGGAAAGCAGGAAGGGTGGAGGTGGGGGAGAAGATCTGTGGATAGAAGATCCAAGTCCTTAGTGTGACAGAATGTTCCTCCCATTACGATGTGACTGGATTCTATGGTCATAGGCCAGGAACCCTCAAAGGTTTAAAGACGAGTGACACCTGAAGACCAAAGAGTTACCCAACCTTTAACTTCACTCTGTGATTTTTAAACAATGTTCAGGGAACCTAAAGCAAGCACACACTCTGACATACTGTACAGATGAGAACACTGGCGTTCTCAGCTCATCCTGCAGTACTGTAGTACAAACATTGTCGACCCCCACCCCCCTTTCTTCACTACGGGGGGCCTCCTGCTGCCCCCACTGGGAGCTCCACAAGCCAGTGACAATAACACAAGTGCATTCTGTGCTCCGTATTTATAACTTCTGACATGTGATTTACTTCAGTGTCAAATTACATTTTAATCCCCTGACAGACAATTCTTAGTCCAGTGTTGACTAATTTTCCTCTTTCATCGTACCGCCCACCTCACCACCTATAATTCTTGCCTGGCCAATGGGGTGGCAGGGATTCATGTGAACGCATTATCACAATATTGGGACAAGTCTCCAGACTCTGAAGACACCCTCACAATCTATACCTGTTGTGTAACAAGAGTGCAGCCGGACGAACGTTTGCTTTGTGATCACACACACACGTCAAGAACGTAAAACTGTGCTCATACTACAATGTTCGTCTTAAATGCTGTATAGAAATGTTCTGTTCTTTGACACCAATTCCCAGGGTCTTGTTTTCAAACGTGTGCTGCGGCTAATTTTGTTACACTGGCTCCAGATACAGAATGTTCTGAAATGGAAGCAAATGTTTTCAGTTCAAAGACCAAATATGGGTTATAGCTTTTAGTGTAAATGTTCAAGTTAAGGTCATGTAAAAACACCATAATAACCATTTGGTTTCAAAATGATCTAACATGATATACAACATGATGATAATATTTTCTAATACGGTCGCCAAGCAGTCACTGTCACACACATTGTCCATGGTTGCTTATCATCTGTTTACTTCCAATTGAAATTATTTTAGAATTATTAGTGACATGTATGGATGTTAAAAATGGGTTAAAATTTGATACAATGCATGACAATTTGCATCAAAGCCTAAGGAGTTATCTCAAAAAGTTATTGGTCATACCATGAAACTAGGCACTCTAGTACAGTAGGCTGCGGTATGCGCCTAAAAATGTTGGCTGTGACCCGCTATTAAACCAAGATGTCAGGTTCTGAGTTAGACAAGACCATTTTAGTTGCTAATGGTATTTTTCATGGTCCTTACAAATAAAGGATCACTGTATTTGGTCTTAATTTGTCAGGGGCTCATTTTTAAAATGATATTTGATAAAATCGTATGGTGAACAAAAACAAACATGAATCATGTCGTAACTTGAGTGTATTGTTACATCATCTTGCCATGTTATTGAAACCAATCTTTTTGTGGCATCTGTTTTTGTTCTTTTGGGGAAGGCGATCCCAATGCTTCTTCTGCCATGTTGATATATCAAACCAAATGTGGATGGACTTCATGTGTCAGACCTGTCTTTTAACATTTCCTCTTGTCTGTGATTGCAGTGTACAAGTCGCCGGAGTACGAGTCACTGGGCTTCGAGCTCACAGTGGAGCGTCTGGTCTCCATCGGTTATCCTCAGGAGCTGCTCAGCTTTGTGTACGATCCCTCCTTCCCGACCAGGTCAGAACAACCACACTTAGGGATACGAAGCACGAGGAAGGCTTTCTGGTTAAGGACAAAGAGTTGCTTTTGCTCCATTATATCTTATCATTTAAAAACCTTTGAACCTGTAGCATGTACATACACTGGGCGAGAAAAAAACGTCCAACCTGTTCAAAGTCCAGTTCAGAGGCTCAAGCTTATCTGTCCTCTACATGATAAGAAGAAGTAATGTTGATTGATCTCCACAGAGAAAAAAGGCAGACTGGTTGCAATATTAGTATCAGTATTGGACATTGTAAAGGAAGTATCAAGCCATCCCAAAGTCTTCTATTGAGCATGTGAATCTTAAAAGTGATGTGTTTTTTTTCCTGTTCCATGCACTGCCTGTGTACAGAGCATTCTCACCACTGGAGCAGGACAAAAGCCTATTTGTAGAGGGTGACCACTTTTGGATTCAGTGTTGCTGACGTAGCCCAGTATTTATTTTTGTAACTGAGATCTGCGTGTAATCGGGGGGTTAACATCAATGTCTGTTCATCAGTGGGCGAGCTGCTGCCTGGTGCTGGCTCTGCTCAGATACACAGACTGAAACATTGGCACTGGCCCTGTTCTTTCTTGATTCAATGCTAATGCTAAATATTGCAATTTCTTACTAAACTATAGGCACGGTGACATATTGAGGTGTTTTTTAACAATTTAATTGTAGGAAAACTATCAGCATAGTAAACATAAAAGGTTACTAAATTTTGGAATAGAGGGATCCACATTTGAAATAAAGAAATAAAAATAAAATTAAATCAACCAATGGCATGAATATTTGCACATTAATTGTTAATAAGAAAATCAATCTAGTGCTGTGGAATATTGATACAGTATTGTTAAACAAGGTTTTGTGGTATCTCTGTGTTAAGATATTTTTGTAGACTGCTAGTGTTGACTTAAATGTATTAGATATAGAATATGATGAATAATTATCACATCCACTTTCAGGGGCCTTGTGTTTGATACCATGTATGGAAACCTCCTGAAGGTTGATGCTTACGGTAATATACTGGTCTGTGTCCACGGGTTCAACTTCTTACGAGGGTGAGTGGTTGTGAATGGTCAACCGTAACTCGACTCCTTTTTTCATATATTTTTTAAATATCTCTCAGATTTTGTTATGATTTTTTGTCTGATGTAACTGTTGTTTTAGCCCTGAGACCCGTGAGCGGTACCCAAACAAGTTTATTCAAAGAGGTGACACAGAGAGGTTTTATATCCTCAACACTCTCTTCAACCTGCCAGGTGAGGCCTCTGAACAACAAGGGGGTTAAAGAGATGACTGACGTTGTTTTCACTACAAAAAGTGTATTTCATCTTGCACTTTCACAGGAGGTGGGATACCATTTAAAAAAAAATCCTTTGTGGGCTTTGCATGAATCAATTCAATGATTTATTGATTGAAAAATCTTTTTTAAGTTCAAATCTGTGTGGGTTGATGATTACAGTAAATAGACATCCATGTAAAGAAATACAACAACATATTTTTCATCTGTCTACTACAATCACAGACTAGCACAGACTTACAGTACAATTATATTGTTTGGCTCTGAACCCTGTCATCTGGTCTACATTGTTTGTGTCTGTACCAGAACTGTTGTAGCTAACGTTAGCTCTGGTGTCTGTACCAGGATTGTTGTAGCTAACATTAGCTCTGGTGTCTGTACTAGCACTGTTGTAGCTAGTGTTAGCTCTGGTGTCAGTACTAGGATCCTTGTAGCTAACCTGTTTTCATGCAATACGAAGGTTTCACTTTATAACCAATTTTATGAGTTTTCAATTTTTACTAGTTATCAGTGAACAATGCAGAAAGAAAGCAGATGAATGGGATTTTCTACTGTTATGGTTAACAAACTCACCTCAAAAGGTTGATTTTTTTTTTTAAATATTGGCCATTAGACCATCATTAAACCCATAGGTTAATAAAAAGTGTGATGACTTCTAAAACCTCTGATGACAGCCTATGTGTTGGCCTTTGCAGAGACCTACCTCTATGCCTGCCTCGTGGACTTCTTCTCCAACTGTGACAGATACACAAGGTAAAACACATTTAAGGGCAAAATCTTTTTAGGCATTGCATGACGACACTAAGACAAACAGAGTACCGAGCAAGCCCTACAGCATGTCAGGGCAAAGGTACTAATGAAATCTAATCATTCTCAAATTGAAAAAATAAATGATAGTTTTCTTAAGGAGCCTGTATAAATCAGTTTTTTTTCACAACTGTAATATATCTTTGCTACTAATGAATGAAGAAAGGCATGGACTCTTTTTGAAAAGGACGCAGAAATAAAGAGGTTTCCAGTAACAACAACAAATCCAGTCTTGATATAACAGATAATCCTAAATGTCTCAGGAAAGCGGTGCCATAATGGCCTTTAATTTCTGTTGAGAATGTAATCTGGAATGGCTGCATGTCCTTTTGTCCTCTGAAACCTGGTTGTTGGTCTTTTAGGGGGAGAATGCTTTCCTGTTTGGCTGGGGACCCCTCCAACAAGGGAAGGCTATCCCATTTAAAAGCAAACAAAAAAACAACAACAAGAAATGCCAATTTTTTGGTTTTTAAAAGCCTTGTGTGAAAAAGTTCCCTCACAATCAACTATGGTCGTGTTTTGTCACTGCTCCTTTCCCTCAGCTGTGAGACCGGCTTCAAAGATGGCGATCTCTTCATGTCCTACAAGAGCATGTTCCAGGACGTACGTGATGCTGTGGACTGGGTGCACTTCAAGGTAGGACTCCGCTAATTAATGTGTGTATAATGGGAAACCTGACACGACTTTGGGTTTAGGAAGCACGTCAAAACATTGATGTTCTCCCCGTACAAAAGCCATGGTTGGCAGTGACGGCACAGGAAAATACAGATTTTAAATATTTACCCAGGGATGTTCTGTACTACTTTTTCAGACCAAGTACAAGTACTCACTCTTGAGTACTCACCAATACAGAATACCGATGTCACTTGTTTTATATATATATATATATATATTAAACTTTTCATTTCTGAAAAAGGCAGCACAGTGTTGACATGAGTTAGGTGTAAAATAAAATGGTCTGAAAAAACCTGCAGATGAGCACCTTTTTTGTGCACAAAAAAAAAACCAAAATAAAATATTGTGGGAAAGAAGTTCACAGGTTTTTGTTCCTGTCCTCTGTTAACAGGGAACTCTGAAGGAGAAGACTGTGGAGAACCTGGAAAAGTATGTGGTCAAAGATGTAAGTAGACTGTTTATATTCATTGGGACATTCATTGGGACAACACATGAACACAGCATCCTCCACCTCCCTGTTACACTCCTGTGTTCTGCTCAGATGGCTCAGGCCTCAGTCTTTTATTTCTGCTCCTCTCCCACCAGGGGAAGCTACCGCTTCTGCTCAGCAGAATGAATGAAGTCGCCAAGGTTTTCTTGGCAACCAACAGTGACTACAAGTACACTGATGTGAGTATGTGTTGAAAGTTTAAAAGCTATTTTACAGTTTACCGGCTGTCCCACAGCTGTGGTGGTCGGGACTGATATTAGCAGATAAATATTATTCATGTTAGACTTTTTTCTGCATTATTGTGTGTTTTTATGATAAAGTTGTAAAGCAGTTCCTCTAATGTTCTTGTACAGAAAATCATGACCTACCTGTTTGACTTTCCTCATGGCCCTAAGGTAAAGTATCAATAGCTTTTTCCACTTTAACAAAATCTTGGCGAGACATGAGCTTCAACTGCTTTCCTGTTTTTCCTCATCCTTTTTCTACCCTTTTTATTTATTTTTCTTACTTATGTTGTCCTGTGTCAACCACAGCCGGGCACTGCTCACCGGCCGTGGCAGTCCTACTTTGACTTGATCCTAGTGGATGCCAGGAAGCCCCTGTTCTTCGGGGAGGGTACAGTGCTTAGACAAGTCGACACAGTGAGTGAGCACACACAGAGTGTATAGAAACATCATTGTTTCTTTTCTTCAAAAATACCAACCCACACACAAAAGAGCAGCCTCGGTTAGCCTCCTGTGTGATGGTGAGCAGTGGTGTTTCTCCTGAACATGTCAGAGTTTGAGTTAGACTGTCTGACGATGTACTGCCCAGACACACGGGCAGCTTCATCTAAAAACTGATTCCTCCAAGGTGAACTACAGGAGACCTTCAGACTCCTGCTTGACCTGCTATTATGTCACTCACTGGACAATATTACAATGTTTTTTTCTGATTCTACTGTACAATATTCAGCAATAATATTTTTTTAATAAATCTGTGCAATAATTGGTCCATTTTTTTCAGTTTTTTCACATTAACTGTACAATATTCAGCAATAATATTTTTTTAAAATAAATCTGTGCAATAATTGGTCAATATTTTGTTCAGTTTTTTCACATTAACTGCGAAATACAGCATTTTAAAATCAGCTTGTTTTCTTTCCCTCAGACAACAGGGCGTCTGAAGATAGGAACCTACACTGGACCTCTGCAGCATGGCATCGTCTACTCTGGAGGTGATTTTCTTTTTATTCTTGAACATAGTGGTCACTAGGGGTGTGTATTGGCAAGAATCTGGTGATATGATATGTATCGGGATACAGGGGCAACGATGTGTTATACCATGATACTATAGGCACAATGATATGTTGAGTATGTTTTAAACAAGTTAATTGTAGGACAACTGTCAACAGTAAACACACAGCGCTGTTCCATGCTTAACACCACATTACTAAAATTGGAACACAGAGATCTGCATTTGTAATCACTAGAGTAGAAATAAAATTTTCAGGACTTTTTGGATAAACAAATGAAAACAATCAGGTTGTTTGATTCAAATACTTGCAAATATATGAAGCCCCTGTACAATCAGCTACCAGTCGGAGGGTTAAATGGAACACAAAAATAAACCAATGTTTTGAATATTTGGATGGTAATTACAGTGTTGTATAATTTTTGTTTCAGTGTACCAATTTTATCTTGCACCCGTTGTGGTCAGACCTGCATCTTCAGCCTCTATGATTTCTCCTTAGGTTCCTCAGACATTGTGTGCGATCTGCTGGGAGCCAAGGGCAAAGACATTGTGTACATCGGGGACCACATCTTTGGAGACATTCTCAAGTCCAAAAAACGTCAAGGTTGGAGGACATTCCTGGTGATACCCGAGTTGGCCCAGGAGCTGCATGTGTGGACAGACAAGAGCTGTGAGTCCTGAGAACATCACAATTATCCACATGTATAAAATGTGTATGAGGAGGATCAAGTCTTCCCGCTGCACAAGTGACGCCCTTATTAAAGTGCCTATAGTTTTAGTAGAATCCATATTTTCTTTGACTCTGTCTATGGATCATTTCTGAGCTTCCTATTGGTCCAAAGACTCGTCACATTTTTTTTTAACCTGATGTGAGGAAGAAAAACCATCAACAGTGTTTCTAATTACATCTAACAGCAGTTGGAATAAATGTTAAAGTTAAACCTGGATTGGTCATATCTGTGCTCAGATGCTAATATCATACCATACAAAAATGATGCACAGAGATTAGCTAGAATCACTTTGACTTCTTTTATTCCTTTTTATGTCTACTATTCTCAACCCTCAAAGAATTCTGAATTGGAAAATAGTGGAACTACTCTTGAAAAGAGAGCATTTTGTCTTTACATTTCTGACATACGCCAATCAGGGCTCTTCTGTGTTAACTGCTAATTGATGTTGATTTGCTGGTAGCAGCTAAATGACTCGCTGTAGCAGCGATTGGACCATGTCAAAATCGCATTCTGGGGGAAGTTTGATTTTAGTTTCTCTCTTAAACACCACGGTTAGCATCTACAGGTTTTGAAAATATGAGGTTACACAAAGTAACCCAAAGATGTGTCAGGAACATGTTTGTATTTGTACCGAGGATTATGTACCAGAGAGTTTGGTATGAATTTTGCTCCCTTTTATTGCCCTAATATTGATAGAACTTCAGGTCTGTTTTTCCGTCAGTGGAAGAATGTGGTCATGGAGAATAACATGTAATCACCTTGTAAGAACCCCACACACCGAGGTTCATGCTCTCCTTCTGTTTTCCAGCTTTATTCGAAGAACTGCAGGGCCTGGACATTTTCTTGGCCGAACTCTACAAGTAAGAAATGTGACCTTTGGCCTCCTTTTTTTTGCTCTCCCCATCTTGTCTTTGTTCTCCCGCTCCTCTCTCTCTCTCTCTCTTACCGCCTCACCCATGAATCCTAAACCAGTTATTTAGGTCCTGGCACATTTCACTGTTCCTCCACATCTTAGACACACTACCTTTCAGCAGACTGACATCCTCACGTGCACACACACACACACAGACATGTTACTGTCTGTCCCACATAATGACTGCATTGCATTTCTCTTCTGCTCTTCTGCAGACATCTGGACAGCAGCAGTAACGAGAGGCCGGACATCAGCACTATTCAAAGGAGAGTCAAGGTACGACTGCCCAAAAAGAAACTTTTTCTCAAAAGAAAGGCTCCTGTAGTTTAACAGGATTTACTAAAAACCTCATAAGAAAATATGGATACCCTGAAATATCACGATATTTTGATTAACATTAAGTGTTTCAGACATTGAGGCAAACAGTTTTTTTTTTTATTATTTGTTTGTCAAAAGGAACCTGAAAATGAAAATGAACCTGTTGACTTCCTATCAGATCACACGAGGAAGGAGGACAAGAGAGGAATTACACTGTGATTAGCAAGTTGATATTTAGAATTCCAAATGAAAACTCTGCTCCCCAAGCTCATATAATCTTAACACTGATTACCTGGTCCAACATGAGCCTTGCTATCATGTTGTGATCATTAACACTGTTCATTGGTTCTAAAATTGGTGATGAATTACCTGGAGTAACTGTCTTCTCTGTTGTGACATTAAGCTCCTGATAAAGATGTGAGGTCTAAAAACATTCTTCAAACAGGAAATATACCACAAATATTCTCTTTATTTACATTAAATAACATTATTGGCGTTCCCATGTTTACTCTTTGCACTCTCTGTTCCCTTGTCCCACACTTTCCAAGTTCACGGAGTCATCTCTTCTCCTTCTTTCAACCCCCCTCTAGAAAGTGACTCACGACATGGACATGTGCTATGGCATGATGGGTAGTCTGTTCCGCAGCGGCTCCAGACAGACCCTGTTTGCCTCCCAGGTGATGCGTTACGCCGACCTGTACGCCGCCTCCTTCATCAATCTGCTGTACTATCCCTTCAGCTACCTGTTCAGAGCTGCTCACGTCCTGGTGAGTGAGTGAGTGAATGTGTGGAGAGACTTCAGAGTCTGCGCGTGGAGGTCCTCTCAGTGGCGTGGTGCATGTGTAGTATTTTTAAGTAAATTTACCTTTAAGTAATTTCTCACCTGTTATCTTCTCAGATGCCCCACGAGTCGACAGTTGAACACACCCATGTGGACATTGACACAGAGTCGCCTCTGGCCACACGCAACCGCAGCCACTGCAACGACTGCAAAGACCTGGATTGCAAACGCAATCATCTGACTCGCTCCTTCAGCGAGATCAAACCTCCAAACCTGTTCCCACAGACTCCCCAGGAGATCACCCACTGCCACGATGAGGATGATGATGAAGAGGAGGAGGAAGAGGAGTAACACAGCAGACAATACAAGGAGACTGGAGTTCCTGCTCCTGTCTTCATGTTTTCCAGTCGTGTCAGGTAGTGACCACTCCTACAGTGACAACATCTCCTGTGTGTGTGTGTGTGTTTACTGTCTCAGTATTGTGTGCACAACAACACACACACACACCCACAGGAGATGTCAGGAGAGATAAAGGACCAGTAGCAAAAGTTTTCCCAGCACTGATATAAACAATATATATATATATATATAAATATCTAAACAAAAGATTTTGATTTCTGTAACACGAACACAGATATGTTTGAATATGTTTTATAAGATGGCTCTGATGAGACACTGGTGGAAGAAAGCCACGCCCACTTAAGTACTTCAGAAACTTTGACCTTCAGTCATGTGTAAGAACAAACAAAACCAACAGGCTACAAACTTAAACGCACAGAAAAAGACCATGAACATGGCTCCACAAGTTTTAGAGTGGCTCCTGGTTATGACCTGGTGAGAACTGTTGGAAACTGTGTCCAGTCTGTAATTGGACGCACCTGCTACGAGCTCTTTCCCACCTTACTGTGTCTTCTTTCTTTCCTGATAATAACATAGTAATTTACAATGTCAAAACTCAAACCACTGGCAAAAGAATTCAGTGTGAAGTCGAAGCCTTCTCCACTGCTGCCTTTCACACAAGGCCACGTAGCATCATCATCTCCAAATACTGTAGACTTTCATCTGTAAGGTTATTTAAATATCTTGTGAACTCTAATTTGTAATACAATGTTTGGGTGAATTTAACAGATGCACCGTGATACATGCAAAAATGTGTGGGCAGTCAGATCTTTCATGGTCTGGCACAGAGGCATTAAAAATGGGAAGTAGTAACAGTCCCAGTTACTACAGCGGAATACTGATGTCAAATTGTTTGATACTGTAACTGAAATTGGTGGGCTCGCCTGCTGACACGAAAAATGAAAGGGTGGTGTGGAGTTTTTATTATGATTGACAACGATGGAATTTGATCTGGGAGCTAGCTTCTCTCAAACTTTGTTTTTTTATGTCTGATTGAACTTTTAACTTTAGGTTGAAATGTTGGATGAAAAAGGACAGGTTGCAGAATCTGTGATGTTGACTGTGGCTGTGCAGAAACAGTATGCACAATGTTAAATGAATAAAGAAAAAAAACACTTTGCAGGAAACGGTTAAGAGTGGGAAAAAAATATATGCACATACTTCAAAAAGAGGGTTTTTATGCAAGCAGTCGTGTTTAATTTTATTCACATTATTATAAAGGAGAAAAATTTCCTAAAACTCTACTACTTGTGTGCGTGAGACTCACTCAGACTTTAGGATCTACAGAAGCACAAACTGATATCAAGTTTTTGTAACATCAGATAGATGATGCAGCAGCAAATGTTGAACTGAATGGATGGGTCCTGTTACCTAGCAACACAAAGGGCACAGAACAGGCGCCATGTCCCTATGACAACCCTGAATCACTTTTGTGTACAGCAGCTGGTGGATGTACAGAGTGAGTTCTGTGAAACAGCTGAGGTTATCAGTATTAGGACAATCTGTCATATGCAGTAGTTCAAATGCGGTTTGATTTGGCAGTCCTATTACAACTACAGTAACTACAGTAGTTACGTTAACAGACATGCTGAGAAAAGATTGCCGCAACGCAATCTTAAGCTAAAGCCGTGACTGTGCCATGCAGGTCACACATTCAGCTACGAGAGTGTAGTGTTGCCGCTGTAGTCAAAGGCTGAGTGGCCTCCAATTCCAACTTTGCTGTACTTGTGCAAATGGCAATACAAAAAAAACATGTTAAGTCATTACTGGTCATCTTCATGGTGTGGAACATTAATCAGTCTACAGTACTCAACAATTTGGTGTGGAACATTAATCAGTCTACAGTCCTCAACAATTCATCTGACTGTTGTTTTAGTCAGACTGTCAGTCGTAGACTTACTGACTGTCCTGACCTCGGTCAGGTTGGTGTGACACAAGCCGGACCGCTCACTTGAGGTTGAAGCCTCTACAAACACACGCTGAGAGTTGATGATTAGTTGATGATGATGAGTTGATGATAAGCTCCAGGTGATTCAGTGAAACTATAATGTTTTCCCACAGAGTGTGTAAATAACATCATGTTAATTGACTGTGTATTAGAGCAATGATAAAGGGATGGATATTGGAATTATGGGTTATACAGTGTTGGTCATTCTGCCCATTCTGCTTTAACTCATTAACAGATTGTGAACTAAGTTTGAATCCCTGAATCAGATTTCTAATGAAGATTGTTTGGGTTTTTTAAAAATTTGTTTTTGTTTTATTTTTTTTAAATCAATTTCTTGTTTCTTTACCAGAATTGTGTGTTTTGTCAGTTTGAGTTCAGTGAAAGTTTTCATCCACTAGTTTGACCGGACTGCACCATAGTGCTTTAATTAAAAAAGATTTTGGGAGTAGAGTAGGAGAGCTAGAAAGAGCAAAAACAAAGTCAAAGAAAAACATTTACTTGTACTGCCCTTGGAGAGGTTTGTGAAATAACATCTCCTCATAATCACGATATTTTATACTTTATCTATTTGTGACAGTGAAAGAACTAGAATTAGATGATAAAGCCAGCATCCTCTGTCCTAGTTTAGCTGCAGCTCCCTCAGACTAACCTCTTTTTTTTGTTTTTCTTTCACGTTCCTCTTTCTAACCACCAGGGGGCTTCAGTCCTTTTCCTCCCCCCTCTTGTTTTCTGAGAAGTTAAATGATGTCTTTGATTTTCTGGGTGGTGCAGTTTAGGTCCTGAATGTGGAATTACTGGATGTGCCACATTTGGCAGCTGTTGCTGAAAAGAAAGACTGTTTTCTTCTTTGTGAAACCAATGAACAAATGTGTTCTGCTGCATTGGATTGACTTTGTAACCTGAATTATTTTTAATAATACATAAAAGTCCTTGTATTTTACACTGAGGAGGAAAAATCATACAGTAAAATTAAAGAAATACATGAATGGAATGTTTCAGAGCATGTTAGGTACAGTAGCTAAACTGTGGTTGTATTGAACACCACCAGGTTCATTTTTATTATTTTAGTTTTTTTTTTTTTTCATCATTTGTGCTTTATTCAAATAATGTCTTTTCTGTTTGTCTTTTATACCAAACCACAGCATCGCGTCACTGTGAACAAACTTCATCCACACCACGACAGACTGCCTTTAATTCTTTCAGACAACAGAGACCTGACATTTTCTGTCAATCACATTATTGTTGTCCTTCAACAGTGTTTTGTTTCTGTCCAGAAATGACCCTGCAGAGTGTACAGTGAAGGAAGAATCCATGCAGATGTAGAATAAACTAGTTTTTCAGAAGATCTCTGTTGTTTCTTTACTGCTGAGATGAGAAGTTGTTTGACTCTGAAGAAGAGAAACTGTTTTCTGGGGAAAGTGTTTCAAATACAGATCATTGAATTTAAACCAATCAGAGGATGAGTGAATCTAGTTGTCAGTTAGAGGCAGCATTGGCCTCTGTTCTAACACTGACTGATGGACAGTTTAAGACTGACTCACCAACTGGGTTTACTGATAGATGTCCTCGCTGAGTCAGCATTTTTGTGTGAGCATATTTCTCTATGAATGTGAGAGTTTGATAAAAGTTAAAGGGCCGTCTGTGTCCTGACTATTCTTTTACCAGAGTACGCTCACAGGTAAAGAGGTCTCAGTGAAATAGTTT